CTAAGCACTGGACCTAGGCTGAACAATTATGAAAAGATTTTTTAAATGATCTACTAATGGTAAGCAGCATGCTGAATAATTGCTATGCTGCAACCTCTGTTCTAAACACTATGCCTGTATTGATAATTTAAGCTTCACAATGTCTGTGTTTGATAATCATTCCTGTTTTCTAGTTGAGGAAATTAAGGCACAGAGAGGTGAAGTAACTACCCAATGTCACACAGCAAGTGTGCCAGGGTCCATTCTCTCAACTACTATCCACTACTTCTCTCAATGCTGAAAATAAACATGAGTTGAACCTTGATAACCTCAGGCTGGTTCTGATTTGAAAGAGATCCTAGATTGCAGGATGGAATACATATTCCGTTTAACTGTTTTATTTATCTTGACATAATTGAATCGTGCTGATTTTCAGCTTACATAACACATTCAAGTACACAACCTGTGTGTACACTGTTAACATCAGCACACGTTTTCACCCTCTTGCAAACATTCAGAGCTCCAATGATGAGTAGGCTGGAAAATGCTGCCTGGCTCTGGCCATTCTGCTTTCCTGCTATAATGCAGAGGGGTTTAGACGAGGAGATGGCACACTGATAATGCACCCTAGAAGGGATGGAGTGAAAACACTGTTTTCCTTTCCATAAGAAAGTTCTAAAGGGGTGAATGCTATTGTTGAGTTCTAGGTGAGGGCAGTATATCTTTGGGGGGAACTTGTTTATGGTCTAATGAATACAGTTACCACCTCTTAAGATTTGTGAATTTATGAGGCAGCTACAGAATGTCTCTTTATTGAGATCTGGCCTCATTCCATAATAGAGACAAAACAGACCTACCTAGGAAAGTCCTGAATCCCGTTATGGTCAAGGGAAAAGTTCTACTGCTAAAATAAGATAATTACCAAAAGAAACCTATGAATATAGTTTTTCTAGCTTTCAGGCAACCATTGAATTGAAGTCAAATATGAATATAAATTATTGTTGTTATGTGCCATTGAGCCACTTGAGACTCATAGTGACCCTATGTACGAGAGCCCTAAACACCATTCTATCCTGTGCCAACCTCGCCGTCTCAAACACACTCATTCCCACCACTCCACTCACAGAATAGATCCACCTCATCGAGGTTCTCCCTCTCCTGCACCGCCCCTCCACTCTCCCAAATATGATGTCCCTCTCCCCTTGGAGACTCTCCCCCAGTCCCTCCTTGCAACATGCCTATAGTATGTCAGACGAAGTTTCGGATCCTTGACTTCAAGGAGCATTCCGGCTTCACCTTCTCCAGGACAAACCTGTTTGTTCTCCTAGCAGTCCATGGTATATTCAACACTCTTCTCCAGCACCACAGCTCAAAGAAAAAACAAAAATCATTTCCAACACTGATGATTTTATGCCCTCTTCCCCCCCCTCACCCATTTATTCAATGTTGTACTTTTCTCCTCTCCCAACCCTCCCCCCTAGTACACTACCCTCTTGGAAAAGTTAAAGAAAAATTCTTTCATTGTTTTACAATCCCTCCCCCCAAGTCCACTCCACTATACAGCCTTCACTCCGGACTCCTATCATGACAAAAATACCTAATCACATATCCCTCTTAAACAGTTTTCTCCCTCATCTGTTTAAATGCAGTATACATTATTGAACCCATCTTTCTCAGTCTCCTCCTAACCCCGAGGCCAGTCCTGTTTTACAACAGTGGTACCATGCAGTATTTGTCCTTTTGTGACTGAGATACTTCACTCAGCATAATGTCCTCCAGAGTCACCCATTTTGAATAATATTGCATGAGTCCCTTGTTTTTCAATGCAGCATAGTATTCCATTGTGTGAATATGCCACAGCTTCTCTATCCATTTATTTGTTGATGGGCACTTAGGTTGTTTCCAACTGCTTGCTATTGTGAACAAAGCCACAATAAACATGGGTGTGCACATATCTGCTTGGATGTCGTTTATGGTCTCTTTGGGGTATATTCCCAGTAGTGGAATTGCTGGGTCAAATGGTACTTCTATTTGCAACTTTTTGAGAAAGTGCCACATCGCTTTCCACAGTGGTTGCACCATTTCACACTCCCACCAACAGTAAATAAGGGTTCCAGTTTCTCCACAACCTTGCTAGCATTTGTTGCTTGCTGTTCTGTTAAATTTTGCTATTCTGACTGGGGTGAGATGGTATCTCATTTGCATCTCAGGATTTTGAACATTTCTTCATGTGCTTGTTGGCCATCTGAATGTCTTCTTCAGTGAAGTGTCGATTTTACCCCTCTTATTCATCAGCTGTTTAACAGGAGAAAGATGAGCAATCTTCTCCCATGTGGTTAACAGCCTCTAAAATCCCATGGGACGGTCAGCTAACATTTAGTCTGACTCCACAAGAATGAGTATCAAAGAGAGTGAGAGACAATGAAATGCAGGTAATTCCTCTCCCCATGATGTTGAGGAAAGGGATCTGTCTGCAGGGGCATCCCACCAAGACCTCAGCTCACAAGACGTGAAATGGCAGAGCAGGTGACATTTAAAGAACCCTCAAGAGGATTTTGTACATTTCTATGTATTTTTGCTCTTCCCATGTCCAAAGAGAGGGAAAAGAGGAAACTAGGCTTAATTAACTGATCAATATATGTGCCAGGGATGATGGGGATACCACAGGACTGGGCAGCATTTCATCCTGTTACACGTATGACCATCAGGAGTTGGAATTGAGTCAGCAGCAGCTGGCTGGATGAGGTTAAGTATTTGAGTGACTGCTGAAATAAAAATAAGGGTCTTTAAAAAACAAAACAAAACAAACCACAACTCAACTTTGACTTGCCCAAGTGAAAATATAGAGAGTTCTGGTGGCTTCCTGGGTTGTGCTGCCAACCAAAAGGCAGATGGTTTGAGTCCATAAGTTTCTCTGTAGGAGAAAGATCGGCAACTTTCTTCTGTGCAATTTATAACCTCTGAAAATCCACCTAGAGGGTCAGTTATGAGTTGATTCTGACAGGACAGCAACAAGTTATTTGAGAAGTGAAGTATAATGTAGGTAGAAAACATACAACTTTAAGTCAGATAAAATAAGTCATCAAAGTAATTCTTCTCCCCCCACTCCCTTCTTTCTATTGAACTTACTGTGAAGTGCCAGGAGAACAAATGGGTCTGTCCTGGAAAGGTTAAAACCAGGCTGCTCCCTGGAGGCCAAAATTTTGAGGCTCCATCTCACATACTTTGGGCACTTGGTCAGGAGGGACTGGTCCTTGGAGAAGGACATCATGATCAGAAGGGTAGAGGGACAGCACAGGAGAGGAAAATGTTGGAGACTTATGAGATTTCCTGAGAACAGGGCAGGTTTCAGAGCTGTTGTACAGAGAGAGGGTCGTTATGAGTCACAGGCAACTTGACAGCTCCTAACAACAATAACAACTATATCTCTATCCTGGTTTGCATAGAAATTTCTGGTAAAATTTAATACTCACGTTTTTCACTTAGAGAGGAGTTCTGGCAGGGCGCTGTGGGTTGCATGGCTAATAAAAACGTGGGGTGAGGGTAGAGCAGTTTGAATCCACCAGTGGTACCGAGGGAGCAAAGATGAACAGTGTCTTCAAAAAAAGATTAGCAGCCTGGGAAACCCAGTGTACAGTGACCATGAGCGGGACCCTCTGCCCAACTCAGTGGCAGTCGTTTTGTTTGTTCATTTGTTGGTTTAAGGGGAGACTGTGTATCTATGTGGAATGTGTATTTTACTAGGTCTTCCACTTAATTCAGCAGTAAAAGAGTGAATTAAAAATATTTCTCTTATAAACAAAAATAGTTCTTATGTGTTCTTTGTGAATTTATAAAGGTTTTTATTATGTATTTATTGTATATTTAGTTATGTCTTTCACCTAATATTACAATTGTTGTTACTGTTTCGTACCATAGAGTTGGAAGTGACCCTTATCTGACCCTCTGGCAGGTTTTCAGACAGTTAATCGCACAGGAGGAGATTGCCTAGCCTTTTCCTGAGGAGCAGATGGTGGCCTCGAACTGCCTTCCTTCAAGATCACAGCACAGCTTCTTGCCACAAGGGCCACCAGAACTCCCAAATAAAAGTCATTATTTGCTATTGATGAAAACATACACAAATCACACTAAAGAACAAAATGAAGACTTCTGGGTTTATTTTCTCACACAAAGGCTCTGCGGAGAGATGTTTTTATTGTTGGTTTGCTTGCCACCCTCCACCTTTAAGGAAGTTTCTTCAAGTGACCAGCAGGTGTTGGTATTCCCAGGTTGTAGATGTGGGACCTAATCAGAAGTCTGAATGGACAGTCAGTGGAGTTTCACAGGAAAATGGGCTTACAGGTGTCCACGGCCTCTGCTGATGACTGACTAAAAGACAACATGACCTTGAAACGGACCAGCAGGAGAACCACAAAACACACCTGCAAACCATGTGGCTCGGGTTGAAGCAGGTCAGGGCTGTGTTGTTAGTACAGTGACTGACGGGTCAGATTCTGGTGACTGCTTGGCTTAGTGGTGGCTATGAAGGGTCACCAGGGTTGACCCTTTTGAGTCACTTAAAACCAACCCTAACAGCACTTTCCCACACCCTCCTCTACCTGCTGGAGCTCAGACACCATTCCTGATAATGTGCTGTCCATTACACATAGCACTCTTTAAATCCAAATTGTTTCAGTTATATCTTTCCTTTTATTTCAAAACCCAGGTGATCCAGTAGAAAATACAACACAGAATATTGCTCCAGAGTCAATGCAACTTTTAAAATACTTCTGCTTATTCAAGTTCATGTCTTCTTCTGAAATTAGGTGCCATAAGGTAGAGATTAAATAGAGCTGCTTTCAATAATTTAATCATTTGACTCATGCCCCCCTCAATGAACTTCCATGAAATATTAAATACTATTCTTAAGACAATTTGGACACAATTACACACACATTAGGAAAGGGGGGGAATATAACAAAAAACAAGTTTTTCTCAAAAGTGCCAGTGTCTTTTTTTGTTGGGGGAAAACTAACATTCAGTTAGAGGTAAACAATATTTTCTTCAGCTGGATCTGCCACTTCTCCGTCTTCTCTGGCGGCTGACTGTGGATCCAGCCTTGCTTCTGCCATAAACGCCAGCAAGGGAGGGCGGCATGGAGTGGAGTCCTCAGGAAGGGAGGTGACCAAATCTGCAACAGACACACAGCACAGGTCACAAGAAGCCAGGCTGGGATCCACCAGGCCGGTGACACCAATCCTTGGAGAGAGGTCTCTCTAAGACTGGGAGATACAACACCACACAAAAACCAGCCAAGTCCATTAAGAACATCGCAAAACAGAAGAAATGTGCATGATTGTAAGCACAGACTTATCCCGTGGCCTCCACAAAAAATTCCCAGGAAAAAGCCTCAAATGAATGCAGACTTTCCAGCATCCCTGGACTGTTTCTATTGCCAAGAAGGGTATCCACTATTTAAAAAAAAAAAAAAATAGTTCAAGGGCTTAAAAATCACTCTTAACAATATAAGCAAACATGCTCTGTAGTAAAGCATATTTGCATCTCCATGATTCCTTTCTTCAGAATGTCTCAAAGTCAAGAACTGATCTCAAGACTGATGCACCCAGGACTTCATGGATTTGGGTGACAGCTGGGGAGAAAGGAATTGAAGGAGAAAGAAGAGCTTCCAATTGCACCATTATGCAAATCTGTTAGCACTCCTGAATTACTGAGCAGGAGCAGACAAATTCCTGGGAAAATCATCCATTATGAACTATCACTGGGCTTGCTTTACTTCTGGTTGCCTAGCAACCATAGGACAATGTCTAGTCTCCCTTTCTCTCTAGTAAACCCCCTAATATTATGGTTTCAAAGGGAATCAATGGGATTTGAGTACATTGTCTGCACTTGTTTCATTGACCACCCTCACTGAAGCACAAACATATGGCAAAATGACAACCAGTCTCTGTCATAGCAAAAATGGAAAATGAGTGAAAATAAAGGAAACTCACAGGGACAGGAACTGACACAGCAGCCAGCACAATAGATTAGATGTCCCTATAGCATAGAGATGGTGCAACACCAGGTAACATTTCCTTCTATTAGCATCAGTCAGAGAAGACTTCAAGACAGTTAACCACAACAGAAAGTCAAGGCCAAAAGCAAAGGTCAAATGGAAGTCCAGGTAGGGAGGATGGATAGCCTGTGCTGGCTCTTTAGTCATTCATTAACAAAAAATCTTTTTAACTTTGCCACATTTTGGTAAGAAGTTGCACTGCAATCCTAAAGGTGCACTGTTTGAATCTACCAGTTGCTCCATAAGAGAATGGGAAAGCTCCTCCCCTGTGATTTTTAGCCTCTGAAGGGTCAAATAGGAGTCAGTGCTAACTCAGCACAACAACACAACTTTATTTAGGTGGGTACACACAACTGCTGACAATCTAATGATAGAGGAGATGTGACCTGTAGGCTCGCTCATCTTCTAGAGAAGGCAGGATGCAAGTCTTGGCTGGAATGAGAGCAAAATTTCCTGCTAAGCTTCCATCTTTGGAAATACAGTGCCCTTTTCAACAGCTTATATCATCACTTCTCCCAACAGGGCAGGGTCCACAAGAGAGGAACGGCCAGGGTTACAGAGAAAACTCTCAGCGTTCAGTCAGAGTCAACTTATAGCTGACGCTCCAACAGATTTTCTGACGTTGTAAATCACATGTGACTGTCTGCCTTTCTCCCAAGTTGCTGAGCATGGATTTGAACCAGTCACTTTTTAACATAACAATGTAACTATTGTCTACATCACCAGAGTAGAGTATAGACAAAGTTCACCTGCAGGAGTACAATCAAAAGCTAGACTACTCCAGACGCGTCAGCTGTTCCAGGGGCAAGAAGTGCTCTCAAAAGATTGCTGCCGTTGCTTAGTGATGCTTAGAAGACCTTGCAGGTCAGAATGAGCCCTGGGAAGAGGAGGTCAGAAGGTGAGGCTACTCCACAACTTTACCTATATGTTTGGGTTATCTTTGGTCCTTTAATGATTAACAGAGCACAAAGGGGAAAATCCATTTGCATCAAGGTAACTTGTGTAGTGACTGGAGGGACTGCACAAGAAAGGAAGACCCTTGATGAGATGGATTAACTCAGTAATCAGGATGGGTGTGAGAGACAATAAGATTGGCACAGGATAGAGCAGGGTTTATAGGGCTGTTGTACACAGGGTCGCTATGAGTCACAGATGACTCAAAGGCACATAACAACAACAACAACAACAACAACAACAACTTGTGTAGATTTTACTGTGATCCCACTAATTTTCAGAAGGAATTCAATAACTTCTAAGAACATAACCATTGACAAGGTCTATAATCCTCAGGTGCTTTCACTGGACACAGAAATTGTTCCAGATCTTTTATGTCCATCAATTCTTCAGTCCGTGTAACCCATACTTTGTTGTTGCTGTTGCTGTTGCTGTTGTTGTGTACCATCGAGTTGGAACTCCTCTAGAGGTTTTTCAGAGGCAGTTAATTGCTCATAAGGAGATTGCCCATCTTCTCCCGCAGAGCAGTGGATGGATTCCAACCCTATACATTCAGGATTGCAGTGCAGCTTCTTGCCACTAGGCCACCAGAGCTCCCTCTGGTTTACCAGTGTGCAAACCCATGCTTTTCACACCAGTCGACTGTGACTCAATCTAGTTCACTTCGTGCCCAAAGTCATACAGCTGAAAGATTTGATCTCAGAAGACCTTCTTGAGACACTCTGCTAGTCTGATCAGGATTCTGGAATGATTCTCATTTTTTGCTGAGTTGCAAACCACCTGTATGAATTAAGAGACACTGAATGGTTAGTAAGGAGACTGAGGGGAGCAGTGGCTGAAGACTAGGCTGGTAACAAAAAGGCTGATGACTCGAACACAATAGCGGCTCCGTTCTGCAGGTGAAAGAGGTGTCACTGTGCCTCCCTAAGTATTTTTGTCATTCCTATTAGGTGTCATTGAGTCAGTTTTGACCCTCTGTACAAAACACTGCCCAGACTTGAACCAACTTCACATTCGTGTCTATGTTTCTGCCCATTGCTGTAGCCACTTGTCTCAATCCAACTTCTTAAAGGTCTTCCTCTTCCCCCAGCCCCCGACATAATGCTTACCCTTTGTGGACAGTGTTTGGTAGAGCTCCCAAATTAAGCTATACTTAGAAGCAGGAGTGACATCCCCTTCCTAAACAACCTGCCTCTGAAAACTCTATGAACTAAGAGAAATGACGATAGTTATACAATAGGGTCCAGTTCTTTTGTTCATAGGGTCACTTTGAGTCGTCCTCGACTCAATGGCACTTAACAACAACAACAATTACTAATCATAAAATCCTCCAGGTATCAGTTCCTCCTGATAGTACATCCACAGCATGAAAAATGATGTCTCTCCATCTTCCTCCCTGAGGTCCATTCTGGCTGTGTGTCTCCCACTGTAAATCTGTTAGCTCCCCAGAAGTCCAGGGGATAGTCAACACTTTTCACCAAGAATTCAAATGTATCAATTCTTCTTCAGTCTTCTTTATTCATTGTCCAGCTTTCACTTGCAGCTGAAAATAACATGGCTCAGGCCCGGGGTCCCATATGCCCCAAAGTGGCCTTTGTGCCTTTTCACACCTTAAAGCACAAGGCCTTCTGCTGCAGATCCCCAGTGCATCTAGGTATTTGAGTCTTTGGCTTTTATAGTCATTGGTTGTGGGTCCAAGTAAAACGAAATCCTTGACAGTGTCAATCTTTTTTCTGTTTAAAATCTATTCTTTATTAGTCCAGTTGTAATTTGTTTTTGTTGAAGGGTGAGCCATGCTGAGGGCTGTAGTCTCTAATCTTCATGAGTTAACGCTTCAGGTCCTCTTCACTTTCAGCAAGGAAGGCTGTGTTATCTGCATATGATAGGTTGTTCCATTACTGATGTTCTGTTCTTCATTTTAAAGTCCAGCTTCTCAGATTATTAGCAGATTAACTATGGTAAAGGATACAATTTTGATGCACTTCTTTCCTCATTTGAAACCAGGCATAAACCCCCGGTATGTCTGAATGACTGAGTCTTGGTCTATATACAGATTTTACATGAGTACAGTTAAGTGTCCTGAAATTCTCATTCATTACAATCTTATCTGTAATGGTTATGATCCATAAAGTCAGATGTTTTTGCATGTACAACATACCACTAGTAACTCTCTTTTTGGTATATCCAGCCAAAATCTGTCATAAGCAAAGATATTTCTCATTCTACATCCTCTTTTGAATCCAGCTTTAATTTTTGGCAGTTTGCTGTCAGTGTACTGTTTCAACCACTTTTGAATTATCATCAGCAAATCTTCCCTTACATATGATAGTAATGATATTGCTTGGTAATTCTCACATTCTGTTGGTTCATCTTGCTTATAATGAACACAAGTATAGATCTCTTCTTGTTAGTTTGCTAGGTTTTCCTTTTTTTTTTAATTACAGCCTAGGAAGTCCAACAAGGCAGTTTTACACTTTCAAAAAATATAAGTGCCTCAGAATTGGGGTATTGGTAAAGAGTATATAATATCACAAACTGCCAAAAGAACAGCCAAATCTGTCTTGGAGAAAGTGCAACCAGGGCATTCCTTGGAGACAAGGATGGTGAAACTTCATCTTACGTACTTTGGGCATGTTGTCAGGTGGTCACAGATGTCATGCAGGGAAAGATAGAGGTCAGCAAAAGAGAAGACCTTCACTGATACAGACACAGAGATTGCAGCAATGGGCTTGATTGAGGGTGGTGGAGATTGTGAAGATGGTGTGGGACATAAGGTTTCAGGCTATTGTTCATGGAGTTTCTACAAGTCATAGTTGACTCAATAAGCACATAATGACAAAAACTGATTGAAGCATATGAATCAGAATAAACTCAGTGGCAAAATATTTGGTTTAGATTTTTCATACTTACCATTAAGTACTAAACTATGAAGGTCATTCACCAATCCCTCCCTCCAAATATATCCTGAGCACCTCACAACCTGACAGACCAACAGTTGCAGATTAGCCACTTTCCTCAGAATCAGGTAAAAGCATAATTCCACAAGCAATGATTTTGCTATTCTGGAAAAATTACATATCAACTCCATCCTACGTCATCACACTGCATAATGCTCTCCATCTCATGTTACCACACTAGGCGAAAAAATATTCTTGTCTGTG